TGAACTGTGGAGTCCTTGGTGCTCTCTGAGCTTGGTTGTTTGCTTGCAGATGTTTCATTACCCAACTAAGTAGTTGGATAACGAAATGTCTACAAGCAAACAACCAAGGACTCCACAGTTTAGCCCTGAGCTACAAATATTCTCTATTGAAATACAGGTAGTCCTCGAGTTACGAAGCACCAAGGACTCCACTTTGATTGTTTATTGACAAATCAGATTTGTTTTGGAGTTGTAGTTTTAAAATACAAAGTATGGAATCGCAGTCAGGAAATAAAGCATGTGCCAGAACTGAAAATCAGGGTCCATGCCATGAATTATTTTTAGATGCTGTTTTATGTAATTAGCTCTGTTTCTGCTTCAGAACCATATGTTCTTTTTCCTCAAGTTTAAAACTGTATAGCTTTGATTATATATAAATACACAGACATGTATAGATATTGATGCAGATATGTAAGTTTCTATTGCTTTGCCAACAAGGCACCTTGCAGAATAAATGTTACTGTTTCCAAACATAGCCTAGCACTCATTTGATAAAAATATAATTTGGCTAATTACCAATTAGTTTCAGTTGGTACATACACAATTCTTGCAGAACCCGAAATGTATAGGATCATTAAGTGATCAACGGAACACTTCTAAGGTGCAGGACCCATCCTCACATTCCTGTTCCCTTTCTTCCTCTTTCCCAAAGATCTGAAACCAATATTTCATGGGACAATTTCTCTTCTCTTCTCTTCTCTTCTCTTCTCTTCTCTTCTCTTCTCTTCCAAAAATCAGCTGGCCCGGCATATGCATATGCCTTGGAGCTGAGTTAGGGCAATGCTTGCGTGCCCACAGATATGGCTCTGCGTGCCACCTGTGGCACGGGTGCCATAGGTTCGCCATCATGGCTTTAGGCCTTTAAAGCGGTGGTCCCCAACCTTTCTGGATTTGTGGACTGGTGGCGGTGGGAGAGGGAATAGTCCTGCGCAAGCAGTGGGCACTTGTGGGCCCAGCTCCATTTGTGCAAGCAGTGGCCTATGTTCCCCTAGCTTGCACAAATGGAGCTTCACATGTGAACACAAGCACCTGCCACTTGTGCGGTCCAGGGGTTGGGATCCCTGCTTTAAAGGAAATGAATATGTTTAGATTTTTAAAAAAAAGTTTCCCTTGCAAGTCCTGTCCCGACTCTAGGGGCTCGTGGTCATCTCTGATTCACAGCTGAAGAGCCAGCGTTGTCCGAAGATGCTTCTGTGGTCATGTGGCCGGCATGACTATACTCTGAAGGTGCACAGAACGCTGTTAACCCCCGCCAGCTGAAGTGGTACCTATTTACTTGCGATTACATGCTTTTGAACTGCTAGGTGGGCAGGAGTTGAGCAAGTAAGGGGAGTTCACTCCATCATGTCTCTCAAACTGTTGGGTCTCAAACTGTTGACCTTCCAGTCGACAAGCCCAGCGTCTTAATAGCTTGGCCACCATTGCCCCCAGGTTTAGATTAGCGGAGGGCAATTTCTGCGGGCTCAGAAATCACGCCAGTCTTTGCTCGGCTTGCAAACTTTGCCAGACTCCAAAACTGGACCTTAATGGAAGAGGTAAGGGATTTTGACCCTTAAACTCCCAAACTATTGAAAAACAAAGCTTTGCTACATAATGTAAACACCCTAGATCTCAGTGAACTTCAAAGCAGGGAGTTTTCATGTTCATTTTACGTGATTCACTCCAACGAATCCTCGGATTATGAATGTAATTGTCAGGCTCCATTACATTCGTAACTCGAGGACTACCTGAATTCCAATAGAGAATATTTGTAGCTCAGGGATGAACTGTGGAGTCCTTGGTGCTCTCTGAGCTTGGTTGTTTGCTTGCAGATGTTTCATTACCCAACTAAGTAGTTGGATAACGAAATGTCTACAAGCAAACAACCAAGGACTCCACAGTTTAGCCCTGAGCTACAAATATTCTCTATTGAAATACAGGTAGTCCTCGAGTTACGAAGCACCAAGGACTCCACTTTGATTGTTTATTGACAAATCAGATTTGTTTTGGAGTTGTAGTTTTAAAATACAAAGTATGGAATCGCAGTCAGGAAATAAAGCATGTGCCAGAACTGAAAATCAGGGTCCATGCCATGAATTATTTTTAGATGCTGTTTTATGTAATTAGCTCTGTTTCTGCTTCAGAACCATATGTTCTTTTTCCCTCAAGTTTAAAACTGTATAGCTTTGATTATATATAAATACACAGACATGTATAGATATTGATGCAGATATGTAAGTTTCTATTGCTTTGCCAACAAGGCACCTTGCAGAATAAATGTTACTGTTTCCAAACATAGCCTAGCACTCATTTGATAAAAATATAATTTGGCTAATTACCAATTAGTTTCAGTTGGTACATACACAATTCTTGCAGAACCCGAAATGTATAGGATCATTAAGTGATCAACGGAACACTTCTAAGGTGCAGGACCCATCCTCACATTCCTGTTCCCTTTCTTCCTCTTTCCCAAAGATCTGAAACCAATATTTCATGGGACAATTTCTCTTCTTTCTCTTCTCTTCTCTTCTCTTTCTCTTCTCTTCTCTTCTCTTCTCTTCTCTTCTCTTCTCTTCTCTTCTCTTCTCTTCTCTTCTCTTCTCTTCTCTTCTCTTCTCTTCTCTTCTCTTCTCTTCTCTTCTCTTCCCTCCCCTCCCCTCCCCTCCCCTCCCCTCTCCCCTCCTCTCTTCCCTCCCCTCCCCTTCCCTCCCCTCCTCTCCCCTCTCCCCTCCTCTCTTCCCTCCCCTCCCCTTCCCTTCCCTCCCCTCTTCTCTTCCCTTCCCCTCCCCTCCCCTCCCCTCCCCTCCCTTCCCCTCCCTTCCCCTCCCCTCCCTTCCCCTCCCCTCTTCTCTTCCCTCCCCTCCCCTCCCCTCTTCTCTCTTCCACTCCCCTCCTCTCCCTCTCCCTCTTTTCCCCCTTCCCCCTCCTCTCTGACACAAAAGCAGGTGATTTTTTCAGCAGATGCCCAGAAGGCTGGGATTCTCAAGAGTCAGCATATTTTGGTTGTCATAAAAGACCATCAAACTATTATTTGGCTGCGTTGTTTTATTTTAGACCTACTTGGGAGGTATTTGTTTCATGTTCTGCTTCATATGCCAAGTACAGTTGTCTTTCCTTGACAATGATGTACCTAAGTGAGTAGATAAGGAGTGTCATTTAGTGCTACATCTTGCATGTTCTGTGTCCTAGTCCAAGTGTGCCAGGTGGATGCATTCTGTCTTTCTCCATGCTGTTTGCTTGATTATATTTAGATCAATTTAATTCCTTCCTCCTGATTTTTTAAGGTGGAATTCAATATATCCTTTGAGAAGATATTTGTTGTATGCATGTTGTGATCTCTCTTGCATGGAGCTTGATGGTTACATTATTGATAGTAGCCAGAAAAGCCACACAAAGCTGTGGAGACAAAGGGAGAAGAGGCAAGGATTTCTGAGAATCTTTGTGGAGATTTCTCTTCTTGGTTTTTGAAATGCCAGTGTCCTTGGGCAATGGCCTCCTTTAAACAATATTCTGAACCATCTTTATGAAAACTATGGTGAGATGTGATGTCAGTGGCAGTGTGGAAGCTTCTGGTGTTAATATGGCTTCTGGAATGGAGTTTTCTGGAACGCTGACAGTCAGCATCATCTACAGTGTGTTTTGCAAATGGATGACAAGCTAGGATTAGAATCTGTGGATAGATTCACATATATTGAACCGTTGTCTGTCCAATATTGGTTTATTGAATACATTTTAATGCAATTAAGCCTTTGTGCCTAAACCAAGAAAGCTATACATTATGGCTTAGTATGATATTTGAATCAAACTTGGGTTTTGATAGTGGTTTTTACAGTAGACATCCAGTTACCGATATATATATATATTATTCACATATAATACGATGGGGTCAGATTTGGCATAGGCTTAGAGTATTGTTTAAACATAAATTGTGATTTATGATCAAACCTTAAAATGAATTATAGACATTAGTTCTAATAAGATGCAGCATTTTGCTTTCGCATCAGGAAAATTGAAAGAATTTGTACGATATTCCCATGTCTATTGATATTTTACTGTTACTGAATTCTATACCTTTTGATGGAGAATCGAAGAGAAGGAGTCTAGCAAGCATAGATACTTCTCCTAAGTGTCCTTGCTCACATGTCATATTATACCATGGTACGATTAAGGATAGCTTGTTGAATAAATCTCAGTTGACCATGAGTTCAAGTCATGCATTAGCCATGAAAGCCAGTTGGGTGACTTTGGGCCAGTGACTCACTCTCAGCCAACCAGCCTCCCAAAGTTATTGTTTTGGGGAAAATAGGAAGAGTGTTGGATATGCCTTGAGTTATTCGTAAAAGTAATAAAGGCGGGATACAAATAAATAAATAAAAATAAATGCATTGGGTTTACACATATATTAAATTCTGAACAGTGGTTTGCAAACCTCTAGCTGACTTCCTACCCTCATGCTAAGCCAAAACCAATCAAAGCACAATTTGGCTTAACATGGTGTCTGCTTAATTTAACCTTAAAACAGTGGTGAAATGCTACCGGTTCACGCTGGTTCAGGCGAACCGGCAGCAGCAGTGGCGGGTGGTTTGGTGAACTGGTAGCGGTGGCAGTGCAAGGCTCTGCCCACCCGCCCGGATGTCGTTACTTCCTGGTTTTAATCAGGAAGTAACCTGTTTTTGACCCTCTGCGCATGCACAGAGGGTCCAAAACCACATGTGACGCACGCGCGAAGTGCACACTTCCGAACCAGTAGGGAAGGTAAGTAGATTTCACCCCTGCCTTAAAACATAAACTCAACAGAGTATACACAAATGCTGAACAGTTTGCATTTTCATGGAAGTCTAACGCTCTATACCTGAAACAAGAAGGAGAAATGGATTCTGCAAAAATGTCCACAAAACTGATGATATTGTTCGATGAAATGATTCAGAATGTGTGCATGCACGTGTGCTTAATAAAATGGTCCATTTCCTCTTCTCCCACAGACGACAAGCTAAAACTAATGACTGACTATGAATGCGTGTGTGAAGGCATGTCGTGTGTGAACGGAGTCCGCTGCAGAGGACATAGGTGCTTCTCCTCCTTGAGCATCAATAATGGAGAAAGAGTTTACCAGAAAGGCTGCTTCCAAGTTTATGAGCAGGGGAAGATGACATGTAGAACTCCTCCATCCTCAGATCAAGCCGTGGAATGCTGTCAAGGGGACCTGTGCAACAGCAACATAACAGCAGAGCTACCAATGAAAGGTGAAACTTTTGTTCTGTTGTTAAAGAGACCTCAGAGCAGTGGTGGAATCCAATTTTTTTTACTACCAGTTCTGTGGGCATGGCTTGGTGGGCATGGTGTGGCTTGGTGGGCGTGGCAGGGGAAGGATGCTGCAAAATCTGCATTCCCACCCCACTCCAGGGGAAGGATACTGCAAAATCCCCATTCCCTCCCCACTCCTGGGGGAAGGATATTACAAAATCTCCATTCCCACCCCATTCTGGGGCCAGCCAGAGGTGGTATTTGCTGGTTCTCCGAACTACTCAAAAATTCTGCTACCGGTTCTCCAGAACCTGTCAGAACCTGCTGGATTTCACCTCTGCCTCAGAGAGGGAGGCCCTTTTACTGTTTAGTCTTTCATTGTTCGTTCGGCAACCTTCACAGGAGATCCAAGATCTGCATGCTTGCTCAGAGCACAAGTGAGTTTGGGCAGTGTTCCTGCTTTCTGCCCACACAAGGCTGATAAGAATTTTTTTTTTGCTATAAATGGCTTGTGAATTCATGAGTGAACAGTCACAACCCCTAATTTACACATATTGATGAATAATGCCGAGTTGCAAATTTAGAACACAATCACATGTGTCTGAGAGCAATAAACAACTGGAACATAAAAAGGGTAGCTTTGTCTACCATATTTTTTAAATTATTGTTAGTTTGTTGATAAAAACAAAAACAAATGTACAAGCCACTGTTTTCTATCAACAGAAGAAAAGTTGCCCACCTCTTGATTATAGCAAAAGGTGTACAAGTGTCCAAACTGGAGACTGGTGATCAGCATAACTGACAAGGAAGACTTGATCTTACTTAATGGCTGTTGTTACAAACTCCAAGATTAGTGGGATATCTAGAGAGAATGGCTTTGTACTTTTCGTTTGCTTGCTTGCTTTATTTTCTCACTGATGGTACCGTAACTCCTCATTGCACAAGGTTTGCCCTACTGTACGTGAATTTGAGAATCCGTGGGGAATTTTTGTACACCCCTTTTTGCCCCCTACTGTCAAAACCCAGAGTATCCTTTTCCAGAGAGCGGCAGGAAAACAACACATGGTTTTTGATCTCCTTTCTCAGTGCTCTTCCATTGCAAGGGGAGGCACCTGTGCTCAGGCTCCCCTTCTTTTTAGTCTTGCTCTTAGACCAGGGGTGTCCAACTCAATTTCATTGAGGGCTGCATCAGGATTGTGTTTGACCTTGGGGGGGGCAGGGTGGGTGTGGCTAGCTCGACGTCAATCGTATCGGGGCGCCTGTGGTGGCCCCAGCGCTCTGCTAGCGAAAACGGGCTCCTGAGCTCTTTTTTTGGCTGTGATGGACTCCTGCAACCCTTTGCCAGCGAAAATGGAGCTCAGGAGGGCCGCCTGCAGGCCTCCCAAGCTCTGTTTTCACTGGCAGAGGCACCATGGGCCGGTCCTTTGCTGTTTCTAGGGTGGCCCCGCAGGCTAGATCTAAGCGCCCCATGGGCCAGATCCGGCTCCCGGGCCTTGAGTTTGACACTCCTGTCTTAGACCATGTTTCTCAAAGCCATCTCAATCAAGCTTTTGCCTAATCATATTTTTGGTGTTGTCTCTCTTTGTGAAGGGCATCCATCTCAAGGGGAAGCCGTGGGTTACACCATGGAAATGCTTGTCATTTTCATACTGGCTCCCGTTATGGTGCTGATTGTATTTTCGGCAGCAGCAGTGCTGATCATCAGAAAGGTTCGGCAGCGCCATATGGAAAGGCTGAATTCAAGGGACGCAGAATATGGCACAATTGAAGGGCTCATAGCCTCAAATGTTGGCGATAACACATTGGCAGTAAGTAATCCTTGTCTTGTGATCCGTTGCTAAGCATCTAATAACACTCCCGTGTTTTTCTTTCTAATCGGATTGCCCGAAATGTGATGTGTACAATACAGAGCGCTGCATAGTCCCCTTTCATACTGCCTGTACAGAACAGTGCCAGAACCAACCATAGGAAAGCTGTCAAGATGTGGCAAGATTTGGGGAAAACTGAGACACGCTTTGATGGATGCATCATTAAGTAGTTCTTGCTCAAGCCTAACATCAAGGGCTATTCCAAGGGCTATATTGGCACTGCCCTGAATGACTTAGAAGAAAAACAGGTTCCTACTTATTAACCCAGTTTTCCAAGTATACTCACTCTTCCTTTAGTGAGAACCTCAGTTAGCAACCATTTGTAAATACCACAGTAATAAAGGTTTCATTTTCCAGCCAATGTGCACAGTTAACAGCCAAAATTTGTGTGCCTTGACAGCAACACACATTGCAGTGAAATTAATGCTAGTGTAGCTGTATGAGAAAACCTTATCTGAATGAGACAGTAGCAAACTCTGATTTCTCTCTCCCTCTCTCCCTCTGTCTCCCCCCCTCTCTCTCTCACACACACACCAGAGGTGGGTTTCAGCAGGTTCTGACCAGTTCTGGAGAACCGGTAGCGGAAATTTTGAGTCGTTCGGAGAACCAGTAGTAAAAATTCTGACTGGCCCCACCCCCATCTATTCTCTGCCTCCCAAGTCCCAGCTGATTGGGAGGAAATGAGGATTTTTGCAGTATCCTTCCCCTGGAGTGGGATGGGAATGGAGATTTTATAGTATCCTTTCCCTGCCATGCCCACCAAGCCATGCCACGCCCATCAAGCCACACCCACAGAACCGGTAGTAAAAAGTTTTGAAACCCACCACTGACACACATCATGTGTGTGTCACATGTTCACTTAGTGACCATTTAGCTTAATGACCTGCTCAGTAAATGAGGAGTGCACATACAGTTAAAAGCTGCATATGAGAAGTAATGCAGCTTTCATTGATTGGGATCATACAGTTCCCTAAGTCTGGGTTAATGGTATACAGCCCTGTTTTAAAATAAATAAATAAAATCATAGTGCGGTTTAATGGGATAACACAGTTCATATAGGATGCAGAGGCAAACTTTCAATTTCCCCAGCACACCAACCCACAAACTGTCAAATCCAATTGAGTCTAGCTATTGGGTTGACCCAAACCCAGCCTGCGTTTGGGATTGCAGCCAGAGGTGGGTTTCATATAATTTTACCACCAGTTCGCCACGCACCAAAAATGTGGCTTGCATGCATGCACGCGGCTTAGAAAACGTGGCTAAATAGGACGGCATAGCACTGGGGCAGGTCGCCACTACCAGTTCGCTTGAACCGGCTGAATACCACCTCTGATTACAGCAAGGACTCGTGAAGTAATGACGATGAAGGTGGTGGAAGCATCATTAGGACTGATAGAAAGACCATGAAAACAATTTAATCCATTTCTTTTGATCCTGCTATGGTTGCCCTTGGAGCTCCATCTAGGAATTGGGACGAATCATCTAGGAAAGCAAGGAAGTAAAGCTGTTATTGTTGGTACAGTCTTGATTCAACCTAGAGTGCAATTGAAAAGCACGTAGGTTTTTGCATGCTCATATTAGATATATATGGCCTCTTGTCTTTTTTGAACTATGAACCTGTGTACTGCCTGTGGGAACACCACCTGTGACATGCCAGGTAGAATTTGGCCTACAGGAGGATTTTTGCTCTTTTTTATTGGGAGTGAGGAGAAGTAAAAATGCCTGGAGCTATTTACATAACTCCCTGGAAAGCCTCCAACATGTTACTTAAAAGCACACTTAAAGCCAGGGCCACTTGGACACAAGAGTGGGTGAAACCAACATTGCATATTTGGTTATAAACTGAAAAAGCTTTCTAGATCTCAGTGAAATGCCTTTTCTGGATTTTGTTTTAGTAGTTCTTATATTTCAAGGGTTGAGGAGTCTGTTACAAATCTGCAGATTATGTCAGTCCCAACTATAATCAGAGTGGGGGGCATTGGTATTTGGCAATAGCTAAAAACCTTCAGGGTACTCACCTCGGTATAGGATAATGAAGGATAGATCCATTGCAACTGTTATTTTGTTATATTCTTGAGAACTGTGTTGGTTTTTTGGCTACCAAAAGGAATTGCGGATGAAGGAAAATTAGACTGTCTGTGATGGAGCCTGATACATCTTACTTCCAGATGAATGAACTATAATCGTCATAAAAGGCCTAGTGTAGAGAAAGGTCATCGCTGAAATTCACCAATGACTGGAAACCTCTTATGGACTTTTTGCACGAGAAAGAAAATGACTTTGTGATTTATATTCCTGATGATGAGAAAGAATAGGTTATAGAAAGAAAAGAATTATAATGAGAGACTGGTTTAATTAGGAATGTATGTATAATTGCTGACTGAGATATTGGGACTCATATTTCTGTCTGTCAATCTACCTATCCACCCATCCATCCATCCATCCATCCATCCATCCATCTAACCGTACTTACAAGGTGTTGCAAGTGGCCCAGAATAGCTCTGGGTAGTAAGATGGATGGCATACAGATTTAACAAACAAATAAAATAATCACAAATCCTTACAATATCTAAACGCTGGGAACTAACATGACGTATAGCAGTGGGCCCAGAACCTCAAGAGTTTGTGAACTTCATGGAAGGAATACAGAGACTTCTAACAATAATGCTTTTTACCACAGATTATTGTTGTTGTTTTTTAATCCTGTAGAAGCAGCTTTTCTCTTGTAGCAACTTTATGTGATCATAGTTGGCTGTTATAAGCAGCAAACAGGTAGTGTTTCCATAGTTACCACAAGGTATCTCAGAAGTGTCCTTAAGGGAATAGATTAAACAGTGTACACAGTCACATTTCTGTGGGGCAGGGTATATTCTGTTTAATGAGGACCAGGGAGCCACAATGACTGTCTAGGGAAAAAGGCTCGCTCTGGGAATTGAACATTTGATTTCTTCCTATTCCCAGCAGATTCCTGCTCCAGCATGTTTCTCTTTTCCACACCATAGCTAATCCCACTGATATCCTTCCTTTCTAAGAAGGTAGCAATATATGTGTATGGAAGAAGGGCGTGAAAGAAAGCATACAGTCGGCACCTAGCAGATGAAGGGAGAAGCATGGCTGAAAGAAAATCTCTGCAAAATCTATTGTTATGGGAAACGGAACAATCTAGAGAGTTCTGGAATGTTCCATGTCTCCTTCATTGATCTGGCCAACACTCCATTTTGAGGGTGATCTGGCAATTTCCAGACGTTTGTCCCTTGAATTAGAAACTTTTACAGAGTGTTCCATTTTCAGAGAAAAGTGTGAACACTATAAATGCTTTTGATTGTGAAGCTTCCAGAAGATGGCCAAGTGACTCCATAACGAATTGTTATGTCTAAAACAGGCTTTGCACATAGCCGGTATCTCCCCCACATACAACTTTTGAAGAGGAATTCTGTTTGATGAGAATAGAGAAATTTTGGAGGCAATAATATGGCTCATGTAGTATGTATAAGGAAATTGCATTTCTAGGAATCAGCAGTGGAATACAAGTAGTCCTTGACTTACGGCCACAATTAGGACCAGAATTTCCATTGTTAAGCACGGTAGTTGTTAAGTGAGTCATGGCCAGTTTTATTATCTTTTTTGCCTGGTTGATAAGCAAATCATCTGCAATTGTTAATGTTGGATCATGTTGTTAAATGAAATCAGCTACTCCTGTAGACTTTGCTTGGTAAAAGCTGGTTGGGAAGGTCACAAAATGCTGTCACATGCTCCCTCCCCATCATAAATACATGCCAGTTGCCAAGTGTCCAATTTTTCATTGATGCCGTTCTAACTTTGAACAGTCACTAAATCGAATGGTTTACCATGATTGAACCAAATGAGCCTGGGCAAAAATTCTCTCTGGGTTTCCTTGCTGGGTTCATTTGGCAGCCAGTTATGCAATTGAAGTTCTAATGTTGTGCAATGGTTGTTGCTTTTAGCTACCCTCTGCTTTTAGTTCAGACTGCAGCAAAACAAGGAGAGTGAATAATTTTGAATAAAAGGAGAAAGATTTCTATAAAATTAAGAGAACTGATTTAAGTTTTTGAGTTCAAGCTCAAGGCAGCTAAAGCGAATTCTGAGAATCTCTGATTTCTACGAAAGTACTTAGGCATTTTAGGCAAGGTTTGGTCTCACTCCATGAAACAATGCCAAATATGTCGGATGGCTAAATGAATATTATTAATTTTATCATTCCTCCAAGATCTTAAGATCGCATACTAATTATATCCTCAAAACTCTCCTGAATAGAGTATGGGGAGAAAGATATCGACTGATCCAAATCACCCAGATAGTTTCAGCAATGGAGAGTGGAACTACCCCTTCAGGCCAGTATACTAATTTCTCATCTGGCTTTTGACCATTTTAATATAATATAGATTAACTTGGTCAGATATTCAAGTTTGTTGTGTTTCAATTAAGAGAGTTTTGATTAAGGTTTTGGTTAATATTGGCCCATTTCTCCCCAAAATTGTGAGCTTGTTTTGAGAGTTATAATGCAAAAGGACATGGTGGCTCAGTGGCTAAGACACTGAGCTTGTTGATTGACAGGTCGGCAGTTCAGCAGTTCAAATCCCTAGTGCCGCATAACTGGGTGAGCTCCCGCTACTTGTCCCAGCTGTTGCCAACCTAGCAGTTCAAAAGTATGTAAAAATGCAAGTAGAAAAATAAGGACCATCTTTGGTGGGAAAGTAACAGCGTTCCGTGCACCTTTGGCGTTTAGTCATGCCGGCCACATGACCACAGAGACGTCTTCAGACAGTGCTGGCTCTTCGGCTTTGAGCACCACCCTGTCTTTGGAGATGAGCACTGCCCCTTAGAGTCAGGAGCGATTAGTACATATGTGTGAGGGGAACCTTTACCTTTAATACATACTTACTCCAGTTTGGAGAATGTTTTTGTATACTCCTTGATCCTGTGCTATTCTTTTAATAGAGGAAGGCTTTCTCCCCCTTCCTCCTGTGCTTTCAAATTAATTGCTTTGCTGCCACCTTGTGGCTATGTGGATATGACTTAAAATAACACATGGTTTATATGACATAAGGTTGAGTTCTCCAGTTCTGACCTGACGATTTTTTTAAACGAACACTTTTCATCAAAATGCTAAACTCAAAATGTTTTCTGAGCTATCACATCTAGTTTTCTGAGATTTTCTAATGGGTTTTTATTACATTAATAGTTAGGCTTTGACAGCTTTAAACAAATCTAATGAAAAGAATGAAATCCAGGAATAACATTCCTTTCAGGGCTCCCATATGGTTGTTTCTTCAGGAAGAAAAAATCACTGGGCAAGACAAAATAGTCATTGAAATTCATTGCATCTCTTCTGTCTGGCAGGCCTCCTAAATCGAAATCTGACAACTAGGTGGTTATTGAAGCAAACCTTCTTTTATATGTCTTGAATGAATGGGAATGTATTATTGTACATGCTTGAGGATTTAGCAGGATTGTTCATTGGACTTTGAGATGAGGGTCTTAATTCATTTCCTAGCAGAGGATAATTGTATAAAACACATTTAGATTGGTATGAAGAGTTGTGCACAACCTCAGAATACAAAATACAAAAAGGAAAAAAAAATACTGTTCAAAGGCATGACAAAATACCTAACAGCATTGTGTGGGGGGCGGGGGGGAGAGCACAAAATGTAGAAAGTGAACTAGCACAGTAATTGGAAGTGTGTGGGTATTGAGTTAAATGAGAATATTTGGCAGGTCGGTTTTACCCGTTGAACAAAACAGCAATCTCAACAAAACATTTGAAGGCCTTGCATAACTTGTTTTTGAGACATCTAAAATGGAACAACGTGAAGAATTTTAGTAACATATTTATGCTGAAGATGCGTGGGTTCGAGGGCAGACAATTTTCATCTGTGGTGGGTGTGAAAAAAATGGAAGCATATTGAAAGGAGGCGGTTGATATCATGAAAAGATTCACTACGTGCGCTGTCTCCATAGTGCCTAAAATTGCTTGCTGGATAAATCAATGATACAGCAACAAAAAACAAAAAAATGCCAGAAATAATGTCCAAATGTCTCACTATGGTAAGAATGCGAATGTCTTCTTTACCAATCAAGTTACATTTACCATTAATGATTTAGATGAATAGAAAGTGGACTTTACTAACTTTGGTAAATTAATTCATAGCAATATATTGATATCATTTAGTTTTACTTTATATATAATACGAAATATTTTAATTTTAAAGCTGTTCCAGTTTGGAAAGATAGGTTGGTTAGTTAGTTAGTTAGTTAGTTAGTTAGTTAGTTAGTTAGTTAGGTAGGTAGGTAGGTAGGTAGGTAGGTAGGTAGGTAGATAGATAGATAGATAGATAGATAGATAGATAGATAGATAGATAGATAGATAGATAGATACAATAGCAATAGCAATTACAGAGTCAGCATATTGCCCCCAACAATCTGGGTCCTCATTTTACTGACCTTGGAAGGATGGAAAGCTGAGTCAACCTTGAGCCTGGTGAGATTCGAACTGCTAAATTGCAGGCAACTGGCAGTCAGCAGAAGTAGCCTGCAGTACTACATTCTAACCATATTCCTAATCTGCATAAACCCAAATACCTCCACCTTTCCCAACCTATGCATGCCATTTCCCAACATATGCATACCATTCCTGACTGGCAAGGCAACTCCCACACCCATGACCCCCCACACACCCTTCTTGACCTGTGCTACCCTGTGCGCATCTTTCCCAACTTGCACAGCATGTCTTGCACATCCCTGCAAGACTCTTCCCTATAGCACCCATCCGCATCCGCATCCCCTCCCCAACCCACTTGCTCCCACCCCCATCCGGCAGCAGCCTAGCTCCTGACCTTGGACTTTCTACTTCCTGCTGACTTGCCCAGTGACTTTCTACCTGTAAGCTTCCCACAAGCAAAATACATGGGGAAGCTGGCACTAATTCGAGAGAGGGAGGAAGGAAGGAAGGTTCTGATGTTTCTTGCTAGCTTTTCATGAGGAAACTCATTGGGGAAGCCAGTTGGAAATTGTTCCCGTTCTCACTGCTTTTTTGCTAACCACCCGTAGTCATTCTGTTTCTATGAAATGGAAATATCTCAGAAAAGATGCCCAATGGATTACGGGTTGCCAAGGGTACTCTATAAACTAGACCTGTCTGTCCATCCATCCTAGTGCTAAATGCTCTTAGCTAGTAATATTATTTTCATGTCTATCCAATAAAAAAAGGTTACCTAAAGAGATAGAATGGCGTGAATGCTTGCTTCCATTGCAATGAATCCCCTAATAATGTTTGTTATTTCTACACAGGACCTGTTGGACCATTCCTGTACCTCTGGGAGCGGCTCAGGGCTGCCTTTCCTAGTACAAAGAACAGTGGCTCGGCAGATTACCTTGTTGGAGTGCGTAGGTTAGTCATTGTTTGATTTGTTCATCAAGAATAGCTCTATGAGCAATGGGACTATTAAAAGTTAAAGCAGTCATCTCAGACTCCCGATTATTTGATTCCATCTCCCTTCTTTTAGCTTAAGAAAGATCGTGCTAGATGAATATAGGTGGATCACTTTTATTTTAAATGGAGTGGATCCAAATGGTGGACTTCCACCATTTTAAGTTGCTTTATAAGGCTACCCAGAAAATAAGCAGAACTTTTTTTTTTCTTCTCTGCTTTTCCTGAATGTGAAGTGTTTGCAATTAAGTCTTTTTTTTAAAAAAAACAAACTGGCAAGATTCAACCTTAAGGGGAAAAAGTGACAAAAAGGAATCCTACTACTGAGTATTGCTTTTCTCTACTGCTATGTATTTTAATTTTTGTATTTAGAATGTAATTGTTTTTATTCGATTCACTGCCCAAAGCCACTTGTTGAGATGGACATCTTTACAAATTGATTAAATAAATACAGACAAGGTTAAGAATGAAATCCATTGACATAGAATTTATATTAAGCCAGGTACATCGTAAAAAAACATAAAAGCAATTAAAACAAAATAAGTATATATGGTCACTGAATAAAACTACGGCCATGGGCATTAATATAGCCAAAAAATGGGACCCGTAACACACTTGGGCCTCCATGCCTGGGTACAGAACCAAGTCATTAGGAATTTATGAAGGACCAGAGGTTGGAATCATCCTGTTCTCTGAAGGGAGGGCGTTCCTGAGGGCAGGGACTATAGCAGAGAAGGCATGTTTCCTGACCCCAGCCAACCCACGCCTTGACTGAGGGGATCTGTAAAATGCCCATCTTGCTGGACCCAATTGAATAGATAGAAATGACTTGGAGAAGACAGTCCCTTAGGTAACCATGTGCCAAGCCATGAAGGGCTTTAAAGGTGAGAACCAGCACCTTGAATTGCACCCAGAAACACGCTGGCAGCCAATGCAGTTCAGGAAGCAGTGGTGTTACACGTTTCAAATATCTGACAGCTTTTACTTAACCCATGCAGCCTCTTTCTGCACCAAGTGGGGCTTCCTAATGCTCTTAAGGGCAGCCCCATAAGTTGTTTGGTGAGTAGAAATTGCTGACAGCATTCTTCCTCCTTTTTGTATTCTTCCTGGTGCAATTAAGGCTATTTCTGTCACCCCCAAGAATGAAAGGAGTTTTAAATCGCAGGAGTAGCATGGATGCTAGTCCAGTGGGTTTTCCAAATGACAGGTCTCATAGGAGCCACTCAGAGGTCATCCTGTATTAGTAATGTTCTCACTTTTTCAGTTTCTGGTGGGTGGTTATTGAATATAACAAACAATTCTAAACCTTGCATTTAACTAGGGACACTTACTGTTTTAAAAGGACAAGTCATGAAGAAGACTTTTTAATATTCTTTATGAGTTAACAGGTTGAATATGTATAGTATCAGGAATTGATGATTCTTACCTGATCTTAGCTAGCTTTTTAAATATATGCACCGCACTCACCTATATCTAAAAATATTAGGAAACTACTGCAGCTCCGTATAGGCTTGGAACTTGGCCTTTTCCTAAGATAGACAGCATGTGTTTTTAGAGACTAAATGGTTAGCCTGTATTACGTTGCTATTTTTGGATAGGAAGTCTCGTCTGGGTATTAGGAATTCCTCATAGGACGTCACGTGCCTCTTTTCCTTGAAACACATCTGTTGTTGAGGAACATGTGCCAAATATGAAGAAATGGGAGACTCCAGTCAGATGAATGTTTCTGAGAAACAGAGCAGGTGGCACTGCACTGAATTAAACTTGTTTGGGTTGACCAGGGATACTCTATGTCAGGGGTCCCCAACTGTGGCCACTTTAAGACTTGTGGATTTCAACTCCCAGACTCTGGGAGTTGAAGTCCACAAGTCTTAAAGTGGCCACGGTTGGGGATCCCTGCTCTATGTCAGTTTCTTATTCAAGACATATTGGTCCCCGTCTGGGGCGGAGGGGGAGGGAGGCAGAAAGGAATAAGTATCATTCTTTTGTATAATCTTTGTTAGTGTCCTATTAAGAAAGAATCTCCAGGTATCTCCATTGGGCAAGGCAGATTATACAGGTACTAATGGCCACAATTGAGCCCAGAATTTCTGTTGCTAAGGGAGACATTTGTTAAGTGAGTTTTGCCCCATTTTATGACTTTTCTTGCCACCTTTGTTAAGTGAATCACCACAGTTGTTACATTAGTAACACGGTTGTTACGCGAATCTGGTTTCCCCGTCAACTTTGCTTGTCAGAAGGTTACAAAGGGGAATCACATGACACCGGGACACTAAACCCGTCATAAATGTGAGTCAGTTGTCAAGCATCCAAATGTAACTCACGTGACCAAGGAGATGATGCAGTGGCCATACGTGTGAAAAATGGTCACAAGTCACTTTTCAGTGCTGTTGTGATTTAGAACGGTCACTAAGCGAACTGTTTTAAGTTGAGGACTACCTGTAATTTGGGGGGTGTGTGTGAAATATTTACTTTGCAGCAATCCAAAGTATGTTGGAGTAGGAGCTGGAGAACCATGGAAGAAATTGTCCATGATTAATGTCTGGAGTTTAATTACATATAATATAAGTGCGAAACCGCTGAATAAGACACTTACCTCAAACTTGGTTCTCAGGTTTTAGAAACAAAAAGTTGAGGTAGAATTAGTCAAGCTGTTTGTCAATATCACAGTGTTTGTCAAGTCTCGGCAGTTATTAGTATAGATAATCCTCGACTTACAACAGTTCATTTAGTGACCGTTTGAAGTTACAAGAGTAACGTATGATCATTTCCACACTTACGACCATTTCCACACTTACAACCATTGCAGCATCCCCATGGTCAGCATGATCCATATTCAGATGCTTATACTTACGACCGTTGCTGTATCCCAGGGTCACAGGATCCTCTTTTGCAACCTCCTGACAAGCCAAGTCAGGGGAAGCCAGATTCACTTAAATCCTGTTACTAACTCAACTACAGCAGTGATTCACTTAACAACCGCACTGAGAAATGTTGCAGAATGGGGCAAGACTCTCTTAACAACTGTCTCACTTAGCAACATTAATTGTGGGGTCAGTTGTGGTCGTAAATCGAGGACTGCTTGTATTTGCTTGCTAAATAGAAGGAAATAGTGGTGTTATTAGTTGCGAAGTTGTGTCCGATCCATTACAACCCCATGGACAACTTTCCTCCTGGCCTTCTTGTCCTCTACCATCCACCGGAGACCATTTAAGCTCACGCCGACTGCTTCAGTGACTCCATCCAGTCATGTCATTCTCTGTCGTCCCCTTCTTCTTTTGCCTTCAATCGTTCCCAGCATTAGGCTCTTCTACAGTGAGTCCTTCCTTCTCATTAAGTGGCCAAAGTATTTGAGTTTCATCTTCAGGATCTGGCCTTCTAAAGAGCAGTCAGGGTTGATCTCCTCTAGGACTGACCAGTTTGATCGCCTTGCAGTCTCCAGCACCATAGTTCAAAGGCCTCAATTCTTTGGCACTCAGCCTTTCTTATGGTCCAACTTTCACAGCCATACATTGCAACTGGGAAAATCATAGCCTTGACTAAGGAAATGGTAGTTCAGTTGAAATTAGCCGTGTCAGGACTTATCTGGAGTGGGATGAGGCTATCTCTGGAGTTAGATTAGCCCAACTTCAGGCTTGAGCCTTCTTCCTATAAGCCAGCAGTATGTATACTGTGAGTAACAAGTACCCAGAGTATTGTATTGAGGAGGGTTGTAGATTGGCGAGCTAGCACACACAAAGCCAGAATGCCTTCCCATTCTGGTTAGGTAAAGACAACTGCAAAGTTTGGGTTTTCTATATTGCTGCTATGAAGATCCAGAATAAAAAAAAAATTAGAAAGAAATGAAAGTGGCTGTCTCAAAAATACAATCCATATTCCAGGCCTTTCCTATTAGACAATCATTTATTTCCAGTCAAAAGACTTTCTTTTGTAGACCGGCAAAGTTTTTTCATGATCGTTGAGGTCAAATATGCTGTCTCTGTAAACCACTTAGAGACGGCTGTAATGCCCTTTGAAGCGGTATATAAGTCCAAGTGCTATTGCTATGATTTATTTGATCCCTGGGTTAAAAGTTCACTACTAAAAGTGACTTTAATTTGTTTCTGACCCAGTTCTAACCCCAATGATACCATCGGTTTTATTCATGGGATATGGTGCATACAAGTTTGCCCCTCTTTTTTAAGGGGAAGTCCCTGCAAAGTTGAGACTCCCCTTAAAGGAGATGCCGTAAGGAGATGGTAGAGATTCAGACGTCTCCTCAGTCCAGCAGCGTAACCTTTGAAGGTTCATAAATATGGATGTTGAATACAATTTCTGGTTTGGGCGATAAGCCAAAAAAACTTTTCCTTTGAATGAAGAGCTGTTGATAAAAAAATCTCTTTTGTTTATGCTTTCTAGGGAAAGGCCGATACGGAGAAGTCTGGCGAGGACAATGGCAAGGAGAGAACATTGCTGTCAAGATCTTTTCTTCCCGAGATGAAAAGTCCTGGTTCAGAGAAACAGAATTATACAATACCGTGTTGCTGAGGCACGAAAATATTTTAGGTGGGGAAAAGAATGGCTTTGCTTAGGGGCCTAGACAGATGGGGAGAGCTCTGTGGATGGACTGAGAGCCCGAATCTGCCGAGACCCTCCAACTCAGTCTTTTCTTTAGTCCTTCTCGAAGAAATAGAGAAGTAAACTTAGTTGCTGGAATAAAAGAAAGGTTAGATGAGACCCAATAAGACCCAATAAGAGAATAACTTTTAGTTTAGAAGCAATATTTTCTTCAGCCTGATCTCCCCAGAAAGTAATTCAATCTGCCACTTTATACATGTTTGTATAACTCTACAAATAAAAAAAAAGGCGGACCTGCAATGGAATAAAGCATTTATGCTGCAAATAGACTGGACTATGTTGGTTGCCATAAAAATGCCAAATAGACTTATCGACCATGCTTGCCAGGTACAGTACAATACAATACAATACAATACAATTCTTTCTTGGCCAAGTGTGATCGGACACACAAGGAATTTATTTTTGGTGCATATGTGCTCAGTGTACATAAAAAGAAAAGATACATTCGTATCATAAGGTACAACACTTAACGATAGTCATAGGGTACAAATAAGCAATCAAATCATACTAGGAAACAATATAAATCATAAGGATACAGCAACAAGTTAGTCATAAGATCATAAGTGGGAGGAGCATTCAAATAAAGTGTGGTGTTTCAAAGGCAGACCTTTTAAACCCAGATTCAAGGTCTGTGCTTTATCCTTTGCAGACATTTTCTTCCCTTTATTTAATAAGTTACAGGTATTTGGGCGATAGAGTAGTAGAATGTCTCCTCCTAACCATTGGAGATAAGTGGACGGATTTTTAAAAAATCAGAATTTAATCGTAGGCAAGCTGGGCTGTTGAATTGATGCCGCTTTTGGTCCCATCTCAGTTCAGACCTGATCCTTCTAGGCTTTTTGCCTGTCTGCAGTTGTCTTTTGGCATTCTTTTGCAGCGATGTGTCATGTGAAGCCATGGATCTTCACTAAACCCACTCCATGGTTTAGCCCAGTATATAGAGGCAAGAGGAGGTCGAGTGCAAGGACACTCAGCTTAGCCTTGGACCAATAGGCAGGAAGACTTGGCAGTGGTATATTGCTGGGGGTAGCAGAAATAAGATGGACTTTACATTGCTGGGTTGATGGTACATGTGTTGGGAGCTATTTGCATAGAATACGGTATATATTGAAATGCTTTCTGTACAATTGTTTCCATATTTCAGTGTGGTGGTGGCTACAGCTAATCTATATTTACTTCAAGAGTTACTTGGTGGTATTGGGGGAAAGCATTCAAGTGCTTTTCTGTTATCTGAGTCCTTCAGCGCATCTGGTAGATTTAAATGTGCCTGTTACCCTCCCACCTTTGATTTTAATGTAGCATTCTTTCTAGTGAAGGAATGTAACTAGTGGGACTGGTGCTATAGTTTCCAAGGTCAATATAGGAAGACCCTTCATCAAGCTATTTCCCCCCCCCCCCCCCCAAGTTTTAAATCCAGTTCAGTATCTTATTCCTCTAGTCTACACAAGCCTTTTTCTCATTTCTGGGAAATGCTTTGGCTGTGTTTCCAAATGAGCACTTAAGCAAATGTAAGAGTTGGCTGAGTTGGGTAGTCTGTGTGTATGTTTTGGTGCAGAGAACAGCTCCCCACACTAGTGGCAAGTTGTAGGTGCTAGGGAAAAAAAATGCTCTTGGGTTTTTGCCAGAGGAGATGAGCTCCACGTTCTGGCATTTAAAGTAGGTTAATACATCATTCTGTAGATTTCAGATTCAATTCAGAAAAAGTGCTTCAGAGCCCACAGGAGGACGTGGCTGTGAATTCATTGCTACGCAGGCCATCTTGGAAAGTGAAGCAGCTGCTTCAATGAGTCATAAGCATTGGGCTTATTCATACTCCTGCAGATTCCAAGGAATCTTTTCCAAACTGATCCCAAAGCATTGCACATTTAATGCAGGAATTGCTCACTTGAAAAGGAGAGGCATTATACAGGTAGTCCTCAATTTACGACCACAATTGAGCACACAATTTATGTTGCTAAGTGAGACATTTGTTAAGTGAACTTTGTCCCATTGTATGACTTCTTGCACTTAGCAGTTAAGTGAATCCTTGCAGTTATTAAGTTAGTAACCCGGTTGTTAAGTGAATTTGGCTTCCGCATTAACTTTGCTTATCAGAAGGTCACAAAAGTTGATCACATGACCCTGGGACACCGCAACAGTCATAAATATGAACCAGTTGCCAAGCACCTAAATTCTGATCATGAACATGGGGTTATGCTGCAACGGTCATAAATGTGAAAAAGGTTCATAAGTCACTTTTTTCAGTGCCATTGTAACTTTGAACGGTCACTAAATCAACTGTTGTAAGTCAAGGACTACCTGTACTGATGAAAACAGCAAGAAATTGCAATATTTTGAGTGCTTTCATGTCTTCAGCCCTAACTAGTGGAGAACACTTAATACCTTTTTTTGAAGTCTGTTCAGGGAGTAATAGAATTTGCCTTTTGTTGTGCTTAGAATTGCCTGCATTCAGTTCTCATTGGTTTTAGTGATAATGGGGAATGATGAAGTTTGGGGAGAGTTTAACTCAGGGTTCATCAACCTGGTGCTTTGGAGATGTTTTGGAACTCTGTTCCTCATCATTGACCATATTGGCTTCATTTGATGGGAACTAAAGTCCAACTCATTGGGATCCAAAGTTACTTACCCATGGTTTGTATGATGGGGGCCATTATATGAAGAAGGAAATATCTGATAACTTGCCTGTCTTAGGAATGTTTCTGTTCCCTTTCAGGTTTTATTGCTTCAGACATGACATCACGGAATTCTAGCACTCAGTTGTGGCTGATCACACATTACCATGAAATGGGCTCGCTCTACGACTACCTGCAACTGACAACGTTGGACACTGTGAGCTGCTTACGAATAGTTTTGTCCATAGCTAGTGGCCTTGCTCATTTGCATATTGAGATATTCGGGACCCAAGGAAAACCTGCCATTGCTCATCGGGACTTGAAGAGTAAAAACATCTTGGTTAAGAAAAACGGGCAGTGTTGCATTGCAGATCTAGGTAAGTAGCTTTCTGTTTTCTTTTTCGCATGGCCAACAGTAGTAGTTTATCGTTGGGAGAGTACCTGGGTTGCCAAACCAACCAGCCAGCCAGCCAAAAACCATGGAAGATAAAAAAGGGAAAGCAAGAGCAAATGCAACAATAACAGATAGGTTTATATATGTAAAGCTAAATCACAAAGGTTTATAGACTTTGAAGAGGATTAAAGATTATAAAGATGCTAAATGGTTTATGTAATGAATCGGGTATATATTGAAGAAATGTCATTCATGCTTTCCTTGGTGTCACTCTATAGCAAGCTAGGAAGATTCAGCATCCACTAGAGGGCACTTAGCATCCAAAAGTTTTGCTGCTCCTGGATGTATCTTGTACTATTTTCTGAACGTGGAAGTCTGCCACAAGAGACTTCTTTCTCAATCTGATATCCTCCAGGTGTGTTGGACCTCAACCCCTTGAACTCCCTTCCAGCATTTTATATGGCAATAATTCATTACTGTTTGGAACAGCCTTATGCTAGCTTCCTCAAAGCCTATAACAACACAGCATGCAATGTTGAGCCACGTTTAGGATGATTAAAACAGACTATTAAAACAGGCAAAGTTAGGTACTCTCTCCCTTCCTGCTGATTCCTGTAAGGTTATATTTTTTGCATCTTTTTATCATAGTAAAGTATTGCATACAGATCAATAATTGTAGTTAAAATTCATCATGGTTGTTGAAAACAAACCACCTTAAATCAATCGTGGTTTGAAATTTGCTGATTTCTACTATGTTATCCTACCCACCTAACCGTTCCAAAAGCATGCAAATGCGAGTAGATTAATAGGTACCACTTCGGTGGGAAGCTGGTAGCATTCTGTGCACCCTTTGAGGTATAGCCCATACTGGCCACCTGACCATGGAAAATGTCTTTGGACATCGCTGGCTCCCTCGTCCTAGAAACGGAGATGAGCACCATGACTTAGAGTCGGACACGACTGACAGGAAAACCTTTATCTTTTTTTTTTTTCTACTATGTAAATTAAATATTGTTTTAATTTCAAAGGGAAATTAAAATTGAAACTTTTTATAACCACTTGATGGTATATGAGCCCAAGGCTTGCTTAAATTTCTTTCCACAGTAGTGACTCTGGCTGTGGGTTATTCAGTTGCTGCTGCATTTGGTGTCCTCTTTCTGTTTTTCCAGAAAGAGTCTGGAAAAACAGGCTCGGGAATCTGCCTGTTTTCTGGATGGTAAACACTTAACTATATTTCTGAAGTATATGTGGCGCAGTAAACTCAGCCAACATCTTCCAAGATTTTTTTTTCCTTCCTAAAACTAACTGAAACAGATCTAACTTAAAAGAAAAGGGAGACACTTCACAATAACTCTTTCCTTTGTGATTATAGGTCTCTCCGTCATGCATTCTCAAAGTACCAATCAGCTGGATGTTGGGAACAACCCCCGTGTAGGTACCAAGCGCTATATGGCCCCAGAGGTCCTAGATGAAACAATTCAGGTGGACTGCTTTGACTCCTACAAAAGAGTTGATATTTGGGCATTTGGACTGGTCCTCTGGGAAGTAGCCAGGCGCATGGTTAGCAATGGTAGGTAAATGTGAATTTAATTCAATCTATAAAGTTTAAAATCCTTCGTCTTGCTTTTCCACTTAAAAGCACTTCAATGTCCGGATCGAGCAGCCGGAACCACTTGTGTAAACAGATAGTTTATTGTTGATTGCCTCTATAACAAGAATGTCACCAGACTACCTTCCCTTGGGAAACGGCAGATATAGACATAAAGATTTGACCTCAGACATTTCCTCCCCTGCATAAGACTCTTAAGTTGGAATCTCTCTTCACTCCCTCTGGCAGGGGGCCTTCAGCTGGTGGTTCCACCACATTTAGTGGCTATCAAGATAAAATATGCTGAAAATGTATATGCTACCAGATAGCCAGAAGAATTGAAAATTAAAAAATCAGCTAAAGGTGGGAAAGCAAAGAGTTAGGGTTTAGATCTTTACACCTGAAAACTGAAGGATTTGGAATGAGTAATCCAGGCAGCAAAAAATTCCACGAAGCTCAAGGATTTCTCCTCCTCCCCCTTTCCACAAGCATGGAAAAAGCTTCCCTTAGAACAAATATTAGGGTTTCACCAGTAGTGAAATCCAATTTTTTTTACTACCGGTTCTGTGGGCGTGGCTTGGTGGGCGTGGCAGGGGAAGGATACTGCAAAATCCCCATTCCCACCCCATTCTGGGGCCAGCCAGCGGTGGTATTTGCTGGTTCTCCGAACTACTCAAAATTCCCGCTACCGGTTCTCCAGAACCTGTCAGAATCTGCTGGATTTCACCCCTGGGTTTCACCAAGATGCCTTCCAGCTTTTACAGGCCAGACAAATTCATGTGGGAGCAAGAAATCTTCATTTCTATTGCGAGGCTGTTCTGTGGAATCTTAGAGCTCTATGAGAACTTCTTCCATGAGAGACTAGGGCAACAATTGTTACTTAAATCACAACAGCAACAATAATTGTTAGTTTATTGAGGTACTGTGGCAGATAAAGAGAGATCTAGAATGATGCCATAAATGGGCCTTATCATCAAGTGCACCTGGCAATAGAAAATAAATACATAAATTAATAAGTTACTGTTAGGTCTCTCAGCTGTGGCAGCCTTCTTGGACCAGGAAGTACTGAAGGTAATGACTTTCATCCTTGTGATATCCGTGATAGACTATTGCAATTTGCTTTGCATGGGATTGACCCCGGATATAATCCGGAAAACTGTAGCTGATACAAAAGACAACTGATGGCTTGGATTGCTTACATTGTGGGAACTGTATTAGTTGCTGGGCTGGGAGGCTTTTGAGCCCAATTCAAGGTGCTGGTTACCTGTTTAGCCCTATGTGGCTTACCTACTTGCTATATCGGGGACGATGAAATCTTCCTGCCCAATAAGGATCAGCTGGGAGAAAATGCTATTGGGGCCCACACCCTGAAGGGAGCAAGATGGAGGATGGCCTTCATTTTTTGGAATAGCTTTCCTTCTGAGGTCAAGATGGCCCCCTCCCTATTGACATTTAGAAAGACTGCAAAAAGATGCTCTTCTGAAGGGCCTTCAGAGAAGGAGAACCTAATTAGGCAACCCAAAGGTGCTTTTTCAAGAGGCCACTGGACTTTCTGGTTTTTCTTTGAAGATGTTTTGCTTCTCATCCAAGAAGCTTCTTCAGCTCTGACTGGATGGTGGGGAATGGAAGGATCCGGTCAGCCAGTCAGAGCTGAAGAAGCTTCTTGGATGAGAAGCGAAACGTCTTCAAAGAAAAACCAGAAAGTCCAGTGGCCTCTTGAAAAAAATCAGCACCTTTGGGACAACCATGACCTGGATGACTGAGAATCTCCACAGACATCTAATTAGGCAACAGCAGAAGTAAGAGTTTTGTGGGATGTGAATTGATTATTTGGATTTTGTTTTTTTACTTTTCTGCTATTTAAAGCCTTAAAATAGGTGACAAACAAGCATAAATAAGTAAGCTGCTCACTGCTTCACTTTTGAACACAGAGAAGGTTGGCCAACGGCTGCTAGCTTCTGCAACTGTCTACTCAAAATTTTAGCCCGCTTGCTGAAATTTATACTGTTCCTGTAGTTGGTTTCACAAACGATCTTAAAAGATGTTGTTTGTGATGAGAATATTTGCTTGCTAAATTTCTAGCAAAATTCAGAGGCTGTTTCTGATTGGACATATAATGGTCACCGGCTCTATTAAACATTTTAAGCAGTGTAGAGCAGGGCACAGTTGAGAACCAATTTTTCATTTTTGGTGGCACAAACACAGAACCACTCAAGAGATTTGCTCCTTTTGTGAGCTCTTCAGCTGTGCTGCGAAGGGACAATATTAGACACAAAAGGTATCAACCAGAATAATTGGCAACATGGGGTGGGTTGGAACATCTTAAGGGAGGATTAATTAAAAAAAAGCCTTTTCACCTTTCTATTTGGGGAAGAAAGATAACTGGCTGAAGGTGGGGTTAGAAATAACCTGGAAAATGGCATTTGTGTCCCTTTTCACTGCACAGTAACATTAACCTGAATTTGATGACTTGTACATTCAAAATAAGCTTTTTTCCCAGTTCAGTACAAAATGTAGCTCTGTTGGATTGCAGTCCCACCAGGAGGATCAAGCTAAGTGTGGTTGATCTTAGTATCAGAAGTATAGGTCCCCTATCTTTATTTATTATTTTATTTTGTAGGTTGAAGGACAGTTCTCTTTAAGGTGTTTTCTTGTTTTTTGGGGGGGAAATGAAAAGAAAGTGGATCAAAGTTCATTGGGATAATATTAAGGCAGAGTAGCTCAGAGGTTAATATTGCCCTTCTGTGGAATTCTTCAGTGCCTCTGGAATCAGCTGCAGTACCCTGAGTGGGTCCATGAAATTTTTATTGTTGTCTTTTTAATTTTTTTTAATGCATTGAAGTAAAAGCCAGACAGCAGCTTCTTGTATTGTAGTATATTCACAAAAAGAGTAGTGGAAGATTGGAACCAACTTCCAGCAGAGGTGTAGTGAGTCAGTCATAATTAACTGAGTTTGAAACATGCTTGGGGTAAATGCATGTCTACCATCCAACAAAAATTAAACTTTAAATAAATAAATCTCAAAAAGGGAAAAAAAATTCAAAGGGCAGCTAGAATTGATGGACCACTGGCTCTTTTTCTGCCACCAGTTTTCTGTGATTCTATATGCACCTTACAACAACATACAAATAGTTATTTGGGTCTATAAATGGAAGTCCTTCATTGAACAGATTTTCCCAAGTGATGCCTCCAGCTGTGTCTGTAACAATCTGTTCTTCATGTACAGAAGCACTGACTGAATCACTGCCAAAAGATGGCTGTGTCTCGCAAAGTCTGGGAAGGGTTTTGATATGAACATTTGGAAAGCATGTCAAACCCGATTGCATCGCGGGCTGTATCGGGATGTTTTTGCCTTTGCGGAGCCGGGATGGGCGTGGCCTGCACGGGCCATATCCAGGCCACAGGCTGCCAGTTTGACATGCCTGGTGTAGAGTGTCCTCCAGTCAGAGGCCATACTGGTAGGATATTACTGGAAGATCAAAACTGAGGAAACTAATAGTAATGTGCACCTGAGAAGCCCCATTTGCTCAAGGCTGTTCATCCTCAGAGCAGGAAGGTCAGGCCCATTCCTCCCCCCCCTTCCGTTTTTTCCTGGGTTTTAATCTTTTAGTGTAATGAAGAAACCTTGGAAGCTTGAAAATTTTGCAACTGTGCTGTAAAGATTCAGTAGGGCTAATAAACAATGTGCTTTTGTGGGTTTTGGATTATTTTTCTCATGACCAAACAATTTATATTTGAGAGAACTAATCACTTTCGGAATTAAACAAATCCAAATTTGTGAATTTTGAAATGCAGAAACATAATTATAAGCCACCAGATAAAATAGGTTTTCTGTATTTCTTTTTTAAAGCTTGTATAACAAAGACACAAACTAATGGTAGACTTCATGGCAAGTAATTGTATGTGTTTGTTTGTGTATGCGCATACACATGCTCACTGCCAGATATTTCCTAAGATTAAATTGCCGTATTTATATTTCTAAAATAAAATACCTAGCTGATCTGAACATTTCGTCCTGAAACTTGTCCCTTATTGTCTCTTATTTTAATAATAGTTGTACATGACCAATTCTTAATGGGATCAAAATGAAGAAATGGAATGTTGGATTAGAACATGAACCCCAGCTATCCTGAATATTTCTGCAATTAAAATATATAGTGCAAAATGATGCTATTTATTTGGGGAGGGGGATGCCTTGTATCCACAAAACCACAATTGAAAGACTCTTTAACACTCTCTCATAAGTATCTCAGAAGACTCTCAACAGTTAACTATAGCCATAAAGGGAACAGTGCAATAAAATTTAAAACATAAAAATCAAATAGCAGCAGTACAATAACTCCCATCAACAGTATTGATGGCATCCTTTCATCCTCTTAGATTCTTCATAACAGTTCAGTTTTTTAAAAAAAACTTATAGAAAGGCCAGGTTGGGAACTAGTCAGATTTCCAGAGGGTGACTCTTTCATAATGTAAGCATACTGAAGAAATCGTGCCTGTGAGACACAGGGCCACCCCTCCTCTTGAGAACCAGAGAACCAGTAGTTTCTCCCAGGTTGGATAATTCACACAGATTGAATTTGGCTGGAAAAGATGGTCTTGCAAAGTATCTTGGTGCCAAGATAAAAGTTAAAACTATTGTTTTGAATTGTACCCAAAAACTGATCAGTGCCAGTGCTACAGCTTATACTGACGTACATGAACCAAGAACAGTAGTGCTGAATAGAGGACCGCTTGCAGTTTCAAAGTCATCTTCAGAGGTAGCCCTACTTACGGTACCGTGAAGTAATCTAAACAAGTGGTGATTCAGGCAAGGTCCTCTCGTTTCAAGGAGGACCCCAAAGGTGGGCAAAAATCCTCATGGCTACCATCTGCACCTGCTATCCATCAGTAGCCATAAGTACAGAGGACACCCTACCCCAAATCAGAGACTTGTATTTTTGGGTTATTGCCATTCCACCAAGAAGCAATACCAGAATTATCCAAGTGTCTTGATGATGTATCGCACAGTAGTCTCCAGTAAAATACCTGCTTTGTTATAGTCAGTTGTGATCAACCTATTCTGGACTTCAGACTTGTTCTTTTGGGGAAGAGCCCAATTAATCTTACACTGACTTCATCCTTTTCTTATAAAATTATGGTCCCACCCATTCAGCATCTTCTGAAACCATGCTAGCTAGTTTGGGTCTAGATAGCTAGTGCCAAATATGTGAAAGTATAAAGAAATGCTAAGTTTTTCCTCTTTCCAAATCTGTAATAGTTTTGCTGCTTTGCCATATGTATGATTTGTTTTCTGTAGATGTACATGTTTACAGAATCAAACTTTTTTCTAGTCCGCAGGGAGACCTAGTTGATTTAATGCTTTGGTTGTATTGTGCTCTTAGGATTTCATTTCACAATATCGGTGAGATGTCACAAAAGCTTCCAATTGGCAAAGTTTAATCCCTTGGTAACAATATGTGAACTTTGTATTGCTAATGAACATCTTAAATCTATATTGGTGCAATATAACGTATCCCTTGTGTTTTCGGTTACAGGTATAGTGGAAGACTACAAACCTCCATTTTATGATGTCGTTCCTAACGATCCTAGTTTTGAAGACATGAGAAAAGTAGTTTGTGTGGATCAGCAGAGGCCAAATATTCCCAACAGATGGTTTTCAGACCCTGTAAGTGCACTTGCTGAAATAGGTTGATATATTTTCTACTCGATCATCTGTTAAGAATTGTTAAAACCATCTGCTGTTTAGACTATAGGCCAAACTAGATGTGGCAGCAGTAATTACATTTGTTTAATCATCCATCTTTCCCATTCATAATACAGCAGGAGTTGGCCATATTTCTACAATAAAATAGGCATGTGGGCAAAGGAGCTGAACCTCTCGCCCCCTAAATCTATTCACCTGTAGCACTTTTACTTTGGTCTAGAAGCTCTCTGGAATACGAGGGATTTGGGTGAAATTGCAAAGAATGCGGGGAAGTATTGGCTGCAGTTCTCACTTCTGGTACTTGCCAGTCTGTTTATATTGAAATTGGCAAAAAAGGATCCATATGAAAAATCATTGTAGAAACAATTGTTCTACTCATGATTAAGTGCTAGAAGAGAAAAATTTGCAAGCTTAATCATCTTTAAGAAAAATTGGGGTTCAAAAAAATCTGATTTTTTTTAAAAAAAACATACATTGTTGCTTCTCCCAATATAAAATATCATTAACAAAGTCTAGATATAATCGGCAGAGACCTATAGCCTATCATAGCCTAGGACTCCATAATAGTTTTACCCTAAATATTTACAAATTCTAGAGTGGAAACAGAATATTCCTATCTAAGGTCAGGGAGGGGGCTTTCCATTGAGGGGCCATGCAGAGCCAAATGAAGGCATAATCCATTGGGCAGAAGACAGGAGGAAGATCTTGATCAGGTGAAAACCATCCTGGACTCAATTTGTCAACCAAAGATAAAGCTGTTATAAAAACCTTGAACTTCTTGGTCCAACCACCAGTTGTCCTGAGGCCACAGAACCAAAGGAAGTATGCTTTACAGCAATCAAGGACTATTCAGTTATATGACCTTCTGGCTTCTGTATATCTGTGTGCAATTCTTCCCATTTTGCATCTTCTCTTCCTAGCAGTGACCTCTTTTCTCCTTCCCCATAGCATTAAGACAAATGCTTTTAGAAGCTCTTTGGAGAGGCCATTTGATACTCGGGGATAGCTGAAGGCTCCATTATTGCTTCTTTGCTTTAAATATTGAAGCAATGTTTTAAATTAAAAAAGTTATTCACCAGTACTGTAGATAGAAAATGTGGAAGATCAAAAAAAAAGAAACAAACAAGCTTTTAGGCTGGTACTGAACCAAAAAGGTCACTTGTAAAGTTCTCAACAGGTTTGAATTATTTTTCCATAGGGCAAACAGATCAGGCCACTTAGTGGTCTTCTAAAAAGAGCAAGAGAGCGCTCTTGATCTTCCTGATTGTACCTTCCAGTTCAATATGAACTTGGGGGGAAAAAACTGCTTTTTAATATTTTTCCATTTTATATTTTCATCATGTCTTATAGTGGGATTGGGCTGTACTAAATGAAGCGAATTGAATTTAATTGAATTGACCAAGTGTGATTAGACACACAAGGAATTAGAAACAGCCACAAGCCACCACTGATTCATTTGTGTGTGTGAATTAGCTTCAGTGTCGAAACTGGTTAAATGTCCCAGTGTGGATCAGACCTTTGTTTATAAAATGAATACTAAGCATACAAAATTACAATAGTTTAAGCCTCAAACTGTGGTTTGAGGCCACTGTTTTTCTGTATATTGTTTGGTCAGCAATTATTTTCCATGCTGCAAACAAAGTAGTGATAATCAATGTGAGTTGGAGTAGTGCCATCAAAATATTCTACTCTGAATATATATTTCTGTTCTTACCTTTTCAGACATTAACTTCACTTGCTAAGCTCATGAAAGAATGCTGGTACCACAATCCATCGGCAAGATTAACAGCTTTGCGTATCAAAAAGACGTTGACCAAAATTGACAATTCCTTGGACAAGCTCAAATCTGACTGCTGATAAAAAAAAAAAAAGCCACAATGCTGGCAGACGCAAAGAAGGACATACAACTTGCTGGGATTTGGTTCCAAGTGGCTTCAGGCATCGGCACAGTTGTATACCCAAACCAGCCATTTGAGAGGAAACAAAGCCATGCGAATCTTAATTAGCGCCTGCCATGGCATTTTTGCAAATGGCCAATCATTAAAGACTTCAAGCTGGATCTCTGGTGGCCTATGGAAGAAAAAGACAAAGGAGTCCTAAGACAAAATCGGGGCATTAGAACCACGGCTTTTAATTTTTTTTTTTTAATTCAGAAAAAAAAAGAGTCTGTTTGATGCTCCCAACTTTGACACATGGAACTGGACAATTTCAATCCACAACTTTGCCTGCGTGTCTCTTCTTCGTTGCACTAAGGGATTCCTTGCATTCCTTCCTTGCACTGTTACAGTTTAATTTTAAGGAACTGACTTGCCAAAAATAGGATTGGCTTTGTATACCTTGATCTATGTTTTTTTGGATATTAGGAAATCAGTTTGGGCAACTGAACCCATAACTGACTCTTCTCCTCTTTCTCTTTTTATTTTGTTAAGCTGCATTTTACATATGTTTACAGTAAGGCTGGAACACTAGGAATTGTTGATGAGGAAACATGCAGATTTTATTTATTACTGGTGCATTTAACAGTTTTTAAAAAACAGAGAAAAATGCATACAGTTAAAGTTTATTTTTATGTAGCTTCTATCACTTACAGTCTCTTTTTCGTAATATCATATAATCGGAATTGGTTCTGTTTTTTCCCGTTGAATCGTTTAGACATTTTAATCACATTTTAAGTGCTTCACATTTTATATGTGTATGGTCTGTAACATATATTTTCAGTTCAAAATATGCAAAACATTTATATATAAATATATATAAATATAAATATATATCTAAATATAAAGCCATTACTCAAATTATGTCACATCTAGTACCTTATTGATTTAGAAGAACGGATTAGCAAAGCAAAAAAGCAAACAATAGTTCATCAGAAAGTGCTGCTTCCTCCCTCCCCCAATTTATACATAATGAGCATTTAAATGTGGCAAGGAAGAAATTGTTTTAATTTGCTTTTTTTCTCCCTATTAAGTAACTGCTTGTATAAATGAAAGATAATATTTCCCAGTGAAATGAAAGGGAAGTATTCTGCTAGTGCCTCCTGGGCTTAAGGTGAAGGTGGTGTACTTAAATTGAAGCATCACCAACATATATATATATATATATATATATATCTGTGGGTGATTCCCATCCTGGACTGAGCTGTGCTGGAAAATCTGCCATCATACATTTTGGCCTATGTGATGGAAGAGACATCTCTTGAGGTTTGGCATGCTGGAACTGTCCCTCAGACGGAATATTCATTCTGGAGCTATGACCTCATAATGGCATGTGATGTATAGATAAAACATGATGTCTTCTGGCTGCTTTTTTTGATATCAAGTTTCCCAAGTAAACAACTTTGATTCTAGTGCCTTGCTTTGTACTATAGTTACTCTCCTTTGAAGCTTTCCAAGCAAAAAAACTTGGAATGCTGACCTTCGAACATTAAACCAGGACAATGTCTGGAAAAGCTGAATGGACTTGGTTTAAATTGAGAGCGTTAAAAATAAAATAAAATAAAAAAATAGGACAGGACAATTGAGGCTTCCATTATCTCCTATCCTCTTTTATATACTTCAATAACAATTATTTGGGGGATGTATACAAGGTTTGGTTTGGACAACTATATGCTCAGTGAAATACTACTGCTTTTACTAAATGGAGACATCACTATCATTCATATAGTATTGGATAGACATACCGTGATTTGTTAGGATTTATTCGCATCCCCTATGCAATTCAGATTTTCAAATGTTATTTGAATGTCAATCATTTCTTCCTCATATTTAACACCAGAAACTACATAAAAGGGCAATTTACAGTATTTTTCAGAGTATAAGACACACTTCCCCCTCCCCCCAAAAGTGGGTGGAAATGTCTGCGTCTTATACAGTGAATGTTGCCGAAGCCCCACCCACCCGCCGGCCTCTGCCTCCCAGCAATTTGCCTCCTTGCAGCAAACATCAAATAGCGTGGTCAGCTTCAGCACAACCTGATTTAGTACGAGCAGCTGATTGGCGGTTGGATCTATCTCCTGGTATAACTCCTATCAGCTGTTCCAGGCTGCGGGGATCCTGGTGGTGCAGTGGACTAAACTACTGTTAAAGTAGTATTTAGCTGCCAGCTGCCTGCAATTACTGCGAGTTCAATTCTCAACAGGCTCAAGGTTGACTCAGCCTTCCATCCTTCCGAGGTAGGTAAAATGACCCTGTTTGTGGGGGCAATAAACTGGCTTTGTATAAAATAGAACACTGCTTTGGGGGGGGGCGGCAAAAGCCCTACTAAGCAGGTATATACAAAAGTATGAAGGTTATTGCTTAAAAGCATTGTAAGCTGCCCTGAGTCTCCGGAGAAGGGCGGCATATAAATCAAACAAACAAATAAATAAATAGGAGGTATTCCTGGGTACTTACGGGACCGCCTTCTGCCACCGATAGCCTCCCACCAGCCAGTACGCTCCCATAGAGAGTGACTCCTCAGGGTGCCGTCAGCCAGACAATGTCGGCTGGTGACCCCCAGGGGGAGGGCCTTCTCTGGCACCACCTGTCCTCTGGAATGACCTGCCCCTGGAGATACGTAGGATCCCAGATCTCCGTGCTTTTCGCCGTGCCCTTAAAATTTTTTTATTTCATCAAGCCGAGCTGGCTTAATCCCTCCCCCCTTAGACATTTTTAATTGTTAATTAATTTTAGTTGGGGTGTTTTAAATTTATTGGGCCAAAATTTGTTTAATTCTTTTAAAAAAATAAATAAATTTTGTATGTGATGTTTTTATTCTTGGCTGTTCACCGCCCTGAATCCAGTGGGAGAAGGGCAGTATAAAAATCTTATAAAATAAAATAAATAAAATAAATAAATAATATTCCGGGAGGCAGATCCAAATGCCAATCAGCTGCTCGATCTAAATCAGTCTGTGCTTAATCTGACCATGCTGTTTGCTGCAAGGAGGCAAATTGCTTGGAGGCAGAGGCAGGATTTTTTTTCATGTTTTCCTCCCCAAAAGCTAGGTGCACCTTATACTAGCGTCTTACAGTCTGAAAAATACGGTATATGTAAGTAAAGAGTAATGCTGGAAAGGACCCATAAAAATGGTGCTTGATGTCCTACTTCTTAAGCTTTCTATAGTTTGATAAGCAGCTTGGTATTTTCTACGAGAGTTGTAACTTGTCCAATTAACTTTCACTTGTTAAAATGCTTGGTGACAACCCAAATAAAAAAGAAATGAGAAATTACTAATTTTTAACCAACTCCATTTAATAATGATGAACTTTTCCATGAGGACTGGTTATCCAGCTAATAAATACTCATCCTTTGACTTCTTGTATGGCTATTTCACAATACTTAACAGACTGGTGGGGTTTGGTGCATCCATTATTTCTGACTTGCAACTTCACTTTAATACTTTTTAATACACAAATTACTCTTGGATTTTTTTTTTCAAGTACTCCTATAATGAAGAGGATTACAATGCAGGTGGCACACTTACATAAATGTGGAAAATACCTTGCTGCAGAAAAAAATAGGCTTGAATTATATATCTGGAATGGAGGTATACAATACATTTCACATTCGAAACATTTTAAGGTGGAAATACCCGCAGAGTATTTTCCCAGATTGCTTTGCAGAAGGAAACCATTCTCAGGGAAAATTAAGTAGTTGCCCAAAACTTTCCAAAGCAAATAGACTGGTGTGTCTCTCATAGGGGAAATTAATATGTCATTATTTTCAAGCTGCCAAGCAAGCATGTCATTCTAGGCACCAAATTCCAAAGTTGAATCCCTAAGCAGGCTGGAGTACATACGTGTGGCTCTTAGAAGAAATTCATGGTAAACTCCTTGCAAACAATACAAATACAGCATTTTAAGAACCCTGTTTGACATATACAGAGGAGGAAGAGTGACTTCTGGGTCTTTAGGTTGATTGCCCTAGCAGGTTAACGTACAATAAGTGATACAATGCAAGTTAGTTTGAGAGTTCTGGTTTCCATTTCACAATTATGGTATTTAAAAAAATTAAAAGTTCTCTTTTTCTCTGTCGCTGGAGATTTTCAGCAAAACATTAAACAACAATTTGCCTCAGGTGGTATAAATTCTCCTGCTTAGGGCAGGAACGTGGATTAGAAGATCTCCGAGATCCCTTCAAGCAGGGCCGGATTTAGATGAAAAGAGGCCCTAGGCTATTCCACTTATGAGGCCCTTTCACCTATAGTGAAAGTGTAATTTTAATTTTGCTAACAATTTGAATGTAGGGAATGTAGGCCCCTCTTGATCTTGAGGCCCTAGGCTGAAGCCTAGTTAGCCTATAGGAAAATCCGGCCCTGCCTTCAAGCCCTATGATTCTATTCAATTCTTTTCAAGCGGTGAAGAATGACTGGCATAATGGTGCTACATTATTCAGGAAAATACACATAGTTGCATTTCTATGCAATATGGCTTGCTTTACCAACCTAGTGCTGTTCCGCTGCCTTGAACTACCTTTCATTTATTTATTTATTAATCAAATTTATACAGGCACCCATCTTATAGAAAGCCTATAGTGATTCTGGCTGGCATATAACAATAAATATAAAGCAATGGTTACCTAAAATGGTTATAGGTAATTACTGTATTTTTCAGAGTATAAGATGCACTTCCCCCCATAAAACTGGGTGAAAATTTTGGTGCATCTTATACAGCAAATGTTGCAGCGGGGGGTGTGTGTGTGTTGCGGTGCCAATCAGCTGTTCTAGAATGGGCCGCGGTGGCAGCAAACAGGCTGCAGTGAACAGGCTGCCCCGAATGGACCTTGGAAGCGAATGAGCGGGAGCGGCAAATGGGTGGTGGCAGGCGGGCAGCAGCAGTGGTGAATGGGCTGCGGTGACAAGTGGGCCCGTGGCAAATGGGCTGCGGCAAATGGACCACATGAATACTGGATGGATGCTGGGAGGCAGGATTTTTTTCCCTTGTTTCCTCCCCAAAAAAGCTAGGTGTGTCGTATAGTCTGGAGCCTGTTATACTCTGAAAAATACAGTATTTAAAAACATTAATAGCAAATAGCAATAGCACTTAGACTTATAATAGGGCTTTACAGCACTCTCTAAGCAATTTACAGATTGCCTCTAACAATCTGGGTCCTCATTTTACCCACCTCGGAAGGATGGAAGGTGAGCCAACCTTGAGCCAGTGAGACCTGAACTGCCAAACTGCTGGCAGCTGTGATCAGCAGAAGTAGCCTGCAGTACTGCATTCTAACCACTGTCCCACCATTAAATACTATAGTTAAAAACTATAAAAGCAGAACTAAACAAGAATAATAGATGGAGGGAAGTTAATAATAGAGCACCTTCACAGGTTCACTCATCCCCTGGGGACCTCAAGTCTGCTAACATAACCAGGTCTTGAAGGACCTTCAGAAGCTCGGGAGTGATGACGCTGACCTCTCTGGGGGCAGAGAAGATTCCACAATGTGGACTCCAAAGTATTTATTTATTTATTTATTTATTAGTCGCATTTCTATGCCGCCCAACTCCCTAGGGACAGTAGAAAAGGTCCGCTAGCTAGGCCTGCCAAATCAGATCATTTTAACTTCTTCATCTAAATTTCTCAGCCGTTTTGTCACATTGTTGAAGAATGATGGGGCTGTAGGACAACATATTTGAAAACCCACAGATTGGAAAGCCTCATTTGACCTATGGAAGGCATCCTTGATTTAGCCTTTCCCAGAATTAGATGATAAGCAATGACATTTCTGTTTCATTGAATTTCTAGAGCAAAAAAAGTACAGTTATGCCAAGAAAAACATTTGATATTCCAAGGATCACTTTAAAATTATTAGAAAAACACAAATCATGCATATCCAGTAAAGTAACACAGAGCTAGCAATTTTATTTATTAACTACCGTATTTTTCGGAGTATAAGACCCTCCGGACTATAAGACGCACCTACCTTTTTGGGGGAAAACAAGATATACACTAGTGCAGGGGTCACCAACCTTTCAGATCTCAGGAACCACTAAATTCATACCTTTAAATCCCGCGGACCACTAATATGACCTAACTAATGACCAGCTGGGTGGGCGTGGCTAGGTGGCTGGGCATGGCCAACTCAATGTCACTCGTGTCGAGAAGCACCTTGCCGGCCTCTACTCCCTCCTCCCCTCCCAGGCCACTCCTCCCCTCCCCACCCGGGCTCCTTAGGGCCCCAATAGGAAGCAGTTGTTAGAGCTAAGCAGCCACCACAACAAAAAGTTAGCGAAACAGCTGGCTCAGTTCAATTTGGATCTGACCGAGAAGGAGGCTCAGCAGAAGCACCTCACTGAGGACTACAAGCATAGGCTTTCCAAGCAGAGGGAAGACCTGTGGGAGTGCAAGGTCAGGTACCGGCGCCTGGAGGCACAGCAGGCTGAGATGATCAGCCAGTTCCAGGTCATGATGCAGCCCCACTGGAACGAGGCACTCTGGCTCTTCACCACCAGCAGCACTTCCCTCCAGCCTTCGTCCAAAGCCCCATACCAGGAGGCTGAAGTAGAACCTGAGTCGGAATTTCTGCCCCCTCCGACCCACACAAAAAGATCCTGAAGGGGGAGACTCTGCAGCAACACAAGGATTCGTTGCATGTATCTGTCCCAGTGGTAATTTGAGGACTCCTGATTTAGTGCAATATAAAAAATGCAAATAATTTTTCTGTGGACCACCAAAATTTTCTCGAGGACCACCAGTGGTCCACGGACCACCGGTTGGTGACCACTGCACTAGTGCATGGATATGGGAAATAATATGAAATTTTACTAGTTTGGAACGGTTTTAAGTTTTTTTCTTTGCATAGATTGATATTGTAATCAGAATCAGTAAGCACGCAATCTGTTAAATGTAAAGCTTTTTCCCTCCTCTCTTTATTTTCCTTCAGGTAACATTTTAATCAACTTAGTGAAATGTTTTTTAAATTTCAGCTAATCGTTGATTCTAGACAGAAATTTTACAACAAAAGGACACAAAGAAAAAAATAAGACTCATAAAACACTCACAATAACTCTGCCTCTGCCTCAGTTGCCTTGCAGCAAGCAGCCTGCATTAGTTTCATTTTTGTTTTCAGCACAGCCTGAAAATCTGCCTCCCAGCAATTTGCCTGCTTACAGGAGGCCTGCGTGGTTTCTTCTGTGTATTTCCGACTTTGAAATATTTATAGATGCCACTTAATACGGTTTTTTTTCTTTTTTCTTTTTCTTTAACCTTTTCCTTTTCTTCCACTTATTGCTTTCATTTCATTTCATTTTTCTTTTTTTCTTCCTTTACTTACCGTATTTTTCGGATTATAAAACACACAGAGCATATACACACACAGGCTGAAAATTTGGGTACGTCTTATACTCCGAATGTAGCTTTTTCGAAGCTTTTTTTCAGCCCTAACGAGGTGCAAGTGAGTGAAGCAATCTCTGTGGTTTGCCTGCTTTTCTCATTGCTTCTCTCTCCAAAGATCAGTTGTGCCTTAGAAGCTGTTTTTTATCTCCAAATGGGACAAAAACCAGCAAACTAATGTGCTGAAGCTGATCAGACTAAGGACGCTAGCCAGATGAATACCTGGTAGGCAGATTCCCTCCCCCCCCCGCCTATTTTCCTCCCCAAAAACTAAGCTGCGTCTTATACTCTGAAAAAATACAGTAATTTGTATTCATTTATGTTTTCTTTTTCAAAGTTTAATTTTATACATACACTGTCACATACATACCAACATACATACATACTCCGGTCAACGTTCAAGCTCTAGGTTACTACTAGCTTGCAACGCAGCCAAAGAGTTCATACAGATATTAACTTCTCTCCCCCCCCCCCCAGGACAGCACTACTTTAGTCTGCTAACTTGCTCTGAGTAATTGACATGTTACAAGCCAACACAGGGACACTCAGACGGATTTAACACACCATGAGAGCGCCGACGTCTTATTTCCAGTCACAAGATCAGAATTTTAAAAAGCAGGAGCATATTGCTCTTCTGAGACGGAAGCTGATGAACATCCAGAGATGGATAATGGAGTTGATAAACTGTGCCGTCAAAGCTAATTCTCCAGATAGCCATTCCACTGTCCACTTCAGTGCATAAGCAGCCACAAGGGACAGTCTTACAACAGCATGCAAAGCAAAAACAAAATAGGGTAACGGGTAACAGAAATGAATGGCAATACATTTTAATTGTGCTGTCCTGGCAATTCTTCATATTTTCATGGTGCACAGATAAACACATGAGATTGTTCTAAAACTCATGGTAAGGGTCAATTTCAATTTCGACATATACACCCCCCCCCAAAAAAAATTCACTTCTATGGTGATTTGATACATTTAA